CCCAGCAGCTGCGGCGGCAGGTGCAGCGGGGTTGGGATGAGCGGGAGTGGCGCAGCGCCCAGCCGGGGCTCGGGCTCCTCCCTGGCCACCTGCCACTTCACGCACTACTACATCTCTCCGGGGATGTCAGACACCGGTTTTGGTCCAATCCCCATTGGCCTGTGGAGATGGGGCTGGAACTGGCAGTCTGCCATCCCCTGAGGGGTCCTGGATTGTGAGAGGGTGCAGGCCAGGCTTAGGGACCCCACTGGTGCAAGAATCCGTGCACAAATCTGTGCACGAATCCGTGCACAAGGCCTCTAGTTAATGATAATATTTTGTAGGTACTCTTTTCTCTGAAATGTCTGCTGCTTCTGGTGTCAGTTGATGTGATATTTGCTTATCTGTGCATATGTCCCATGATCCTTTCCTCTGTTCACATATAAGTTTGAAGAACTGGTTTGACGAGCAGGTATCTCTTATTGTCAATCTGTTTCCTGAATGAGGAGGGTCTGATTTAATGTTCTCTGTGTGTGGTGAAATGTTGGTCAGTTGGAGTTATTTGAAGGTATGTGGTCTAGTTGGGCTTGGAGAAGAATGAAATTGGGGAAGCCAACTGAATGGAAGTAAGGAAGCTCACTTCATTCACTTTGGTTTATGGCTCTCCCATTAAGAAAGGCCCTCTTATCAACTACAGCCTTCTCTTGTGCAGGCTCTGAATCAGTCATGAGTAGGATTCCAGCGGCCTCCCATTTTCAGGGTAGTCATGATCTTATGAGTATTTTATTTTTATTCCTCCTTGTTATCCTTTTAATGAATTGGGGGAGGGGAAGTATTTAATCTATTGTCTTGTAAAAGTAGTCCACTAATTTTAAACTATAGAACATAAACCTCAATTTTTCCGGTGTTCCTTGAACCAATGTTTTGTGTTTATTTTTTTTTACCTTATAGGCCACTTCTAAAGAAAATTAAATCCCTAATTCCTCTTTTGCAGATCTTCCCACATCAAAAAAATGTTTGGCATAATTAAGGATTATAAAAGTCTCTCCAGTAGTACTCAACCTGGTGTGGGAGAAGTTAGTGAAGTTATTCAGTCTCCATGGAAATATCTAACAGGGGTGACCTACTAGCAAGAGCATGGACTTTGGAATTAGATAAATGGAGACTTGAATTACATTTCTCAAACTCAGAATCTGCATGCCAATACATGAGTTGGCAAAAATAATCTTGTCTCACAGGTTTGCTGTGAGAATTGAATAATACATATGAAAGGTAAAGCAGTGTTAACACGTAGTTGGGTGCTCAGTACCTGCCATCCCCACTCCTCTCTCTCATATATTCATCTGTAATCCATGATTTAGACATGTCAATCATATAATAAACTCTTTGGATCCCAAGAATATTGGGTGACATTGGTTAATGACCTTATACAGGGTTCAAGTGAACAGCTCTATAATATATCTGTATATTGCATCATGTGTTTACCACCCAAAGTTATATCTCCTCCCTCACCATTTACCCCATTTTACCCTCTTCTATCTCCCCACCCCCCTTCCCCTCTGACAACACTGTTGTATGTGTCTGATTGTTTTGTTTTTGCTTAATCCCTTCACCTTTTTTCACCCAGTCCCCCAAACCCCTTCCCCTCTCACAGCTGTCAGTCTGTTCTCTGTATCTTGAGTCTGTTTTTATTGTGTTATTTTATTTTGTTCATTTGACTCCACATATGAGTGAAATCATATGGTATTTATCTTTCTCTGGTTTATTTCACTTACCATAATAATCTATTTTAAAATATACTAAATCTCTAAGATTGGTACTATTATAGGATATATTTGATTCTTTTGCTCCTCTGCTCATATTCTGAATACCTGAGTGTCTTTTGAGCATATTAATATGCCATACTGTAGTATTATTCAATTTGGGCATCTCTTTGAGCTCCAACCCTACATAGTTATTCCTCCTCATCCTTAAGATCTAAGCTTTAATATCAATTCCACAGTAAAGTCATCTTTCCTCTCCCCAACTAGGTCAAGTCCCACTTTTATATACTCCCACCATACTACTGTATAAACATTTTGTTTGTAACTATGCAGTTCTGCAGTCTTCATGGTTTATAATCATATCTGTGATTATTTAATATCTGTCTTATTTGCGAGATTATAATTTCCTGAGGGCCTTTTTGCTTGCAAGCATATCTACAGTGATCAGCCAGTCCATAAACAAATTGTAGGAACTCGGTATTTTTGGAATGAATGAGAGCAGAAAGCTTCAGGAGTGGCTATTTGTTTATTTATTTATTGTTTTTCACTATATTGTCCCCAACCAAGTTATTCTCATACGGATTTAAAGAATCACCTTTGTTTTAGGGTTAGTTAAGAGTTCAATCAGATTGGGATTTTACATTTGTAATCTTTAATCACTTCTAGCACTTTTAAATATTTAGCCTTGACTTCCACTTCATTTGTTTACACAGGTTCCTTCTTAAAACTGAGCTTGGCATGTACAGTCTTCTCCAGGCTCTCTGCTTTTCATCTTCATCAGCATAGTCATAAATGTATTTGGCAATTATGTTTTAATGAGAAAGAAAATTTTTAGTAATCATTGAAAATGCTGTTTCCATAATTTAATGGCCTAGTGCAAAGATGTTTGTTTATCGGCATTGTTTTACACTCTGATTATGTGGGGGAACATGTCATAGGGATTGGATGATAAAAGGAAAAGAGTACTGTGTCCAATTGCCCAGCATAAGAACAGAGCTCCAAAGAGTTTGCCTGCCTTTTAAAAATCTCAGACCGATATAATTTACCCTTTAATTCCGACAAATTAGTGAAAGAGGATCAGGTTATTTGGCTAAACTATTTCTTCAACTCCTGAATATTATGGTGCCAGGGTTGAAGTATCACTTCAGATAAGTATTTTAAATTAACTTAAACAATGAAATTCTTTGTGCAATAAATTAGCTTAAATTCAAAATTTGAAGTTTATGTTTGCCAAGGATAACTCTGATTTTTTGCTTAGCTCACTGTGCTCTTCAAAAGAGTTTACATTTTTTTAAAAAATATTAGAAATGTTCAAGATTTCAAAATATAATATTGAATAGAAAAGTATACATTATAATATTCCAACTGTAACAAATTAGGAGAGAAAAACTTTCGGTGAATTCTGCTTTGCTCAAAATGCACAGACTGCTTTTATTAGATACAAAACAGTAAACAAATTAAAATGTGTTCTGGTAAACTTTGAAAACTAAATTAATACTGTTAATACTATTTTATAAGCCTTGACCTCTGTTTTAAATTCACATTTAGAATGTTTATCAATAAACTTTCATTAGCTGTAATAATGTATCTTTTGCTGTGATAATATGTAATAATACTCATTTATGTCATCAATAATAAAATTAGGGATAAGTGAATATTTATTTAGTAATATTGACCCACCATGGAGAAAGAAAAATCACTGTGTCTCAGGAGTAGAAAGATTGATAAATAGTATTACTATTCTCATGGAGCTTATCCTTAAGTCTAAGGAATTAAACATAATACAAGGCAAAATTTTAAAAATTAATATCCTATGATGAGTAAAAAATTAATATGGTCAAATTAAAAGGGCATATTAAAGACCACTATTTAATTATTACCAGGATAATTGCAGGGAACTTCCTGGAGGATTTCACATTTACTGAAGTGCTGAAGGATAAGTAGTGTAGTATAATAGATGCATAGTTTCCCCAAGGTAAATAACAACAAAAATGATTACTATGTTATTAATAAAAGCTAACACAAATTGATCACATACTCTGATGTTCTTTTAAGTACATGACATGTAATATCTCAGTTGATTCTTAGAGCAATTCCTAAAGGTATTATTTATCCCATTTTTTAAGATGAGGTAATTGAAGCATTGAAAGTTGAGCAGCTCACTCAAGACCACACGTTGTGTAGAAGAGCATAGAAAATCAATATGGAACAAGACTACAGAGGTCTTTACATCTATAATAAAAGCATAATATGCTAATTAGTCTGGATGTCCTTCCGGACATCCTTCCAAATGAAGCTGGGGATGGGGCTGCTAAGGAAGCCCGGGTCCCAGGAGCCAGAGGGAAGCCGGTGCCAGCAGTGGGGGAAGGAAGGCCTACTCTTGCATGAATTTCGTGCATCGGGCATCTAGTGCTTTTATAAGATGATTTGGTTTTCTTAAATGATGGCCACTTATAAAAGAGTGATTCCAGTGAAAAAATTACGGATGCATTGAAAAGGACTGGAGTTTAACAAAATGAGGAGACTCCAGTGGAAACATTGAAATAGTATGGAAAATTGATGATAAATATCTGAACTAGGGACAATACTAAAATCCTGGCTGAACTGATGGGGAGAAGTGAGAAATAGATGAATCTAGCTAAAGTTTAGATTTCAACCATGCTGTTCAAGAAGGTATAATGAGTCATTTGGAAAAATTTTTCCCACCAAATTTGCTTTAAGTTTTGAAATGTTTAATATATAAGGGCTTAAGTTTGGATTACCTATATTTTGAACCATTTAATTCCCAGCCAGTGTTTGATAGCTGATCATGATGTTCATTATCTTCACAATTTGCTCTTGAGCAGCTGTGTATACGAGGTCCTCCTTTCTTATTTTATCCATCTTTCTTACTTTCCCTGACTTGTGTAATTTATCCCTATATTCTGCTCCTAAACACCTACTCATTTTCTTTCTAAAAATATTTAGAGTATCTAATGTCTTGTCCATTCCTTTACAATCACTTTCTATCTTACAGATTATTTTCTTCTAGTTTAGAAATTCATTTCTCTCATTGTATTCAAATTTTCCCTTAATAGAATATTTCTAAACTTATGATCATCTCTCCTTTCACATACAAATACCTACTCAGGTTGACTTTGCAGACTTTTGGTATTAAGGATGTTATTTATATTAATGTCAATAACCCAAATTTAAAAGATAACAATTTTGAAAATTAAAAATGATTTCTAAATCAAAATAAGGATGCCAAAGAGACTGAAAACAATAGTTTGAAACATGATTATTTTAATATGTATACAGGGAAAGAATAAATTCACCAGCAGAAAAAAAATACCAAAATTAACATTTTACAGATTTTTAGTCTCAAAGCACAATACATTTTTCATAGAAACAAATATATCACCATTATAGGCACCATAGTATGGCAACATTTATACACACAGCCATGTACCATTAGGAAAATCAGTGGCAATGGTGATACAATACATTAGTTCATCTTTGTTCAACGTTTTGCTATGATACTTCCTGGCCCGCAGGAGTATTTGCCAGGATACAAAAGAAAATATGACGTCAGTGAGAACAACACACAAAAAGCTCTGGCTACCCATGCTTACCCCTTTGTTAACTGTGTGACCACAAGGAATGTTTTCCACCATCGCTCTGACTTCATTGCATTTACTACAAAAGCCATTCCCAGGGAATCAAACAGTCCAACAGATTTATGTGGATATTAAGGAATTTTTTTAATACAAACAAGAAGTACAGCACCAGGACTTAATATCCTATATGCCTAAACTTAACAGAAGAAAAAAACTATACAGATACTAAGTGGAAATATTTTGAGATTATTTGGAGTAGGTAATGTCTTAGTATTAAACTGGGGAGAAATGTAATAACACCGTTTCTTTCATTTTAGAGTTATTATTTTTGTCACTATTGTTTTTAAATGTACCAGATGATTGTCTGAGGGCCATTCACATTCAATGCTTAGATTCATGTTATTAGTGGCATATACAAAGCACCATATAATATAACATATAAAATGTAGAACAACCATGACTATGTAATTAACTGTAGAAATAACTGCTAAGAAAATATAGCAATATTTAACACAGGATTTCTAAAACCATTACATATCCATTACTTTTTCCAAAGCTAATAATGTCCCATGTTTTATTTTACAGACTTTGTGTATCAAGATTTATATGCATTTGGCATTTTTTTGGGGGGGGGGGCAGCTGAAAATAGTTGCGACCTTCTGTACAGTAATGTTACAGTTTTATACACTTCAGAAATATGGCATTTGGGATAGTCTTCACGCTCCTCTTCCAGGTGTTCCATCTCACACAACAGCAAATACTCTAAATGCCTTTCCTCCTGGAGGATTCTGTAAACTGCAAAAATATAAACAGTACATTGATGTCATCTCTACATATAATCCCTCAAATAAATCATGCTTTCTTATGACAGTCAAGTAAGCCGCCCTGTGAGGCCAGATGGTCACCTGTCTTAGGCTGCTGTAATTTATAGTTATTGGAAAGCTAGAATGAGGATGACATAATTCTTTTTATTTTAATTTTTAAAATATATTTTTTTATTTTTAGAAAGGAAGGGAGAGAGAGAGAAAGAGGGAGAGAGAGAGAGAGAAACATCATTCAGCTGCCTCCTGCAAGCCCTCTACTGGGGATGGAGCCCGCAACCCAGATGAGTGCCCTGATTGGGAATCCTACTGGCAACCTTTTGGTGCCCATGGTAATGCCCAACCAACTGAGCTATGTGGGCAAGGCAGGAAGTGAGACATTTTACAGTCTTCTGCTGAGGACTCTTATTCCATAAGTTGCGCGCGCGCGTGTGTGTGTGTGTGTGTGTGTGTGTGTGTGTGTTGGCACCTACGTGACCAATAAAACCTTGAGAATGATAACACAATTCTTTAAATCTTGGTTATATGCTGAGCTGCAAGTTCACTAAAGAAACTTAAGATGCATAATAGTCATAATAGTATTTTATATCGACCTTCACCGAATCCAGATCATGTTTTCATAGATTACCACCTCTGTTTCCAACAGAGCAGCTCGCAGCTGCAGTGCGGTTTCCCTGGGGGAATACTGAGATGCTGCTATTCAATGCTGAGACCCAGCTTCACTGCTGACTGCCAAGGTCAGATATGAACGGCAAGTGAAAAAGATGGTGCTATTTAAGCAATACTCTGCAGCCCTAGCATTAGCATTTCCGAAGTCTGACAATATTTAAATTTTATGGCTATCATATTCATTAAGCTTTTTTAACATCTACAGTTTCAAGAAAACTCTTAGTGAGAAAATTTAATGGTCAAATCTGGAATGTTCTAAGAATTTTTTCATTAAAATGAAAACACACACACACACCACTCAATCTCATTTTGGAGATATTTTAAGACAAGTGAAAAGCAATACAGAATCATGCATTTTACTCTTTCTTAAATTACTTATATTTTATTTGCCAATATCAATCAAGGGATGTTTTGTTTAAATGCCTAAAGTTTAAAACATATTAATAATGCCATTACTCATTATTTATTCTAATCAAATGTATGCTTTTGAAGTCTGATTGTGTACAGGATTTTTTTAAATGACAATATTTACACAACTTTTTTAAGCATATAATTTTCCTTTCTTAATGATAAAAAGGACTTTGGACACCAACACAATAAATGCTAAGAGGGAGACAAAGTAAAATTCCTTGTATATGTTTATTCATGTATAAGAAAGGGGAAATTTTAGAGTATATATAAAAAAAAAGGTGTGCACACACCACAAACATAGGAGACAGGTTTTTTACACAAACTGATGGCCACTTGAAAGCCATTTTATTCAGAGGACACAGATTGATTAAGTTCTAGAAGTGAATGTGTTTTCTTTGTACACAGTGATAATACTGGGAAAATGCAGATTTCTGAGCTTACAGATCTAGCATAAACCTGAGCTCTGAGACTGGCCAATTACATGGCATTGGACATACCACGTATCCTCTCTGAGCCTCAGTTAATACTCTGTCAACATTAGTGTTGACAGAATCATCTTTATAGTGCTGTTGGTGGAACTGCGTTAATGTACTTGAAGTGCCCAGCAGCATCTGGGGAATCCATAGCAGATTCTCAGAAATAAGTATTCTCAGTCTTACTGTTTAAAAATAAAGTTAAGAAATATGACAGGTGCCCTGGCTGGGTAGCTCAGTTGGTTGGAGGGTTGCCCCATACACTGGGTTCAATTCCCGGTCAGGGCACATACCTAAGTAGTGGGTTGGATCCTTAGTCAGGGCATGTTGGGAGGCAACTGATCCATGTTTCTCTTGCACACCAATGTTTCTCTCTTTCTCTCCCTCCCTTCCTCTCTTCCTTAAAAATAAAAAAAAAATTAATAAAAACATATCCTGGGGCGAGGATTAAAAAAAAAAGAAATATGACAGGTATAATGAAACCACATAGCTCAGCTCAGCTTATGAAACTGCGTATCAGACTCTTATAACTCAAGAATTGACTATACAGCGTATCTGCTTAAGGAGACCATAAGCCAGGCTGTAGAGAAGTCACCTTGACATTGTCTCACCTGAAAACAGATGCTAAATACAAATCAGCCTTTTCATGGAGACGACACCCCGATGGTTCTGTGGAAGGCAATCCTGGGCCTGCAGGGCATACCCTTCGGTATCCTTTAAAGCAGTGGTTCTCAACCTTCCTAAGGCCACGACCCTTTAATACAGTTCCACATGTTGTGGTGACCCCCAACCATAAAATTATTTTCATTGTTACTTCATAACTGTAATTTTGCTACTGTTATGCATCATAATGTAAATATCTGGTATGCAGGATGTATTTTCATTGTTGCAAATTGAACACAATTAAAGCATAGTGATTAATCACAAAAACAATATGTAATTATATATGTGTTTTCCGATGGTCTTAGGCGACCCCTGTGAAAGGGTCATTCGACCCCCAAAGGGGTCACGACCCACAGGTTGAGAACCCCTGCTTTAAAGGAACCTTACTATAATGCAGACCTTCTCTACGTATGTAAAGCTAGGGGGTATTCTCTATCTATACAAAATATATGGGATTTAATACTTCCACAAGTACCAGTGATTTGAAAAATCACTATAGGTTCTTTCAACTTTTATTAATACTTGATAAAGTAAGCCCCATGCATTTTCTCAAACCACCAAAATATATGATACTAATGAGCCAGATACGCTGAGATGACCTGGAAGAGTTCACTTATGTCATAGGAGGCACCCAACATCCGATCAAAAAGAAAATTTGGCTCTGGGGAAAACCAGACTCATTGTTTTTTGTCAAATATTTCGTCAGATAACTGGATTAGAGAAATATTCAGTGCCTTGCTCATCTAGGAGGAATTACATATAAAAACCTAATCTAGAAAATCCAAAAGAGGATGAAAGCTATTTCCTCTTTAGAAGATCAGTTAACAAAAGAGTGGTTCTGACTTGTAATCCGATTTTGATTTTGATTTTTGAAAGCCTGCAGGAGACAGGCACCTCTGGTACTATGGCCTCTCCCATCCCTGGTAAACCTACTACTGCCATCAGCAAAGGAAACGCCGCTCGGCCACTAACCTCAAACCCACACAGAAATGAGCTGCTGTGTAAAGCAAGCACAAAAGGATAGAGAGATTACATATGTGATTGTAAGTGTACCTTTCTGAGAAGATTCCATTCTGAAAAGAAGCAGTGTAAGCCTTTCTTCGGTCCACGGGCATAACGTCCACATAACCACCGTGATTGCGAACCACCCCGGCATGGACCGCTGCTCTGCAGATGCTGGACAGCTGAGGGGACAAGGAAGGACCTGCCGTTAGCAAACCCCTGCGGAACTCGTCCGCTTGCTCTTCCGCTGGACTGAGTCGCTGACCTCTGTCTCTCCGTGGATCCTCGGGAGCAGCAGCGGGATGATGATGTTTTGTGCAGAGGAATGTTTCAAAAGTCAGAGTTAAAGCCACTTCTGAGCCAGTCTGAGGGCAGAGCTCAAGGGTGGCTGCAGTGGTGAGATGCCCTCCCTATCTAAATCTAGGGAAGGCATGCTGTCCAAACAACAGGCTTTCTCTGTTGTTGAAGCAATAAAATGCAAATCGGTTCCTTTGATCTCTTCTGCACCTATTGATCATTCTCAAATCTCCGCCTTTGCTAGTCCCTACTGGAGTCACTCTGACCTAATGTTCACAGATTGGATTATCAGAACCTCATTTATCTTCAGTTTGATTTATAAACAACTCAACATGCCTCTGTATATCTCTACGGTCCCTTTTCCAAAATACAGGTATATATTAAATGGGGAGTTTTTCCCTACTAACTAATATAATATCTTCAGAGAAAATTTGCCCCAAACAGTAACCACCCCCCCCAAAAAAAATATGAAGAACAACCACAGCTTCCACCTAGATGTGCAATGTCTATGGCCACCCCCGTGTGAATATCTGACTGGAGGGACCAGGACCGCCCGCTCTGTGATCATTGCATTGTGTCAGTTACATAATCTGAATTGCATGGGATTTCTATGGAGGAGAAAATTGTTGTTTCAGGTCCAGCACTTTCAAATTTTTTAAATGACTGACTCTCTAAATTTTAACATTTGCTTTAATGCAAATGTTCTGCCGAAATTTGTCAAGATAGCTGCGTACAGCCGGAGGCAATCCCACACAAAGAAACACCAACTGGTCCAGCAGGAAGTGATCCACCTCCTTTCCCCACGGGCCTGTTCTGGTCCCACTGGTGTGCTCTTCTCTCATCGCCACGCACATGTGAGGGGCTTACCTTGCTTTGTGAAGTGCATCTTACGTGACCTTGCTTTATTACTGTGCTCTGAACCTTGCGGCATCCGTCAGTATTTATTAGATCAGAGAGCCAGAATGCCAAGCTGGTTAATCCTCTTCATGTTTTAATCAACCACAAAAGGCTATATATCTAAACCCCACATCCTTACTCTCAGGAGGCATTTTATCCATCAGTTAAAGTCCCTAGCTGAATTAATATTTGTATCCAGTATGGTTCATAACAGATGGAATTAAGAAGAATTCCTTACACATTTCAGTATTTATCTTGCTCCGTCAAAAGAGGCATTATCAGCATTTTTTCCCCAAGGCAATGAAAGTGCTTAGATAGCACTCGCTAAATCCAAGCATGTAATATGTTTTGAAACTATTGCTTTGCCCATAACTATGCAGTCAGCAGGCATTCCGATTTGAGTTCAGAGATCAGAAGAGATTTTCTGTTCATGTCCACACTTTAAAAGCATTAATACATCATGGGGAAAAAAATTTATCTGTGAAAACAGTGGAACATTTTTAATGAATGCAAGAAGTAACTTCATCTGTCACAAATGAGAAATAAAAGCTGACATCAATAAAACATAAGTTGTAACTCCACAGAGGAAAAGAGAGGAAGGTGGGGAAGGGGAGAGGGAGAGAGAAAGAGGGAGGTGGGTAGATTGGCTCTCATCTCTCCATATCTTGCATTTACAGATGTAATATATTTTGTAGTGGTGGGAAGATTGGCAGGTGATGGTTGAATCTCTTTCTCTGCACTTACCAGTAATAGTAATCTTTATATTGCCAACTTATGCTTAAAAGGATCTACATAATAATACATAATTATCTGTCCATTTCACTGAAGAAGAAAGATAAAATGATCTCAGGATATAAGTCCTAACAAATCCTTCACTCTAGCAAAGAGATTTCTTATTGCTATAGGACTGTGGAGGATATTTTGAAAGATTTTCAACTAAAATGAAAAGTTTTGGTGCTTAAAGGGACAATCTGAAAAGAATGATTTCTTTGAAACTCTCTGATGAGTCTAGATATTCTAGATATGCTCATTCATATATACAAATTCATTTATTTTTTTCAACAAATATTTATGTGCAAGTTATTTGCTTAGTTTCTGATTTTACTCTGTCCTCTAAGTCAAGTCAGGGAGCCAGCCTGTCTTGATCACAACTGGGCACCCATCAAATCGTTGATGATAAAGTGATGCATGAAATGCCCAGCTGCTGCCCTCGAGGGACTTAAAAACTAATAGAAGAGGTGTGGAAACAATCATAATACCTCACAGAATCAGCTAAGTGCTAATAGGAGAAAACAAAGCAATAGGGTTGAAAGAAGGGCAACATTATCCTTGGATTAGGAGAGAAAGTAGCCATAATTTAGGATGTGAAGAGTGACCATGATTTTGACAGAAAGTTAGAAAAAGGATGTTTTTGGTTTTTTTTAAACAGAAACAAGAAGATATAAACAAACATGAGCACCAGCAAGTTAAATATCAACAGGACATTCAAGCTGCAGATAGCACACTGCAGAGCTGGAGCTTGGGGGGAAACTGAGATGTGGAGAATAATTTCAAGGTAAAGCTGACCTGAAAGAAACGCCTGCATTTAAAGGAACCCACCCAGAGAAATAAGGTAGTAACATACATATTGCAGACCTCTCTTCACAGTCGCATTTCCATAGAATTCAATTGGACATGTGCATCAAGATTATTGTTTCCTAAGGGTGATTTTGTAACTCTCTGTTTTAGAAATCCGTAATGGTCTCTAAATGTCTGCCACACAAAATCCAAACTCATCAGCATGCATTCAGACTGTCCATTTATATGTTTCAAGAGCTGGATCCCTCTACGTCACACTAAATTGGTTGTAGCCTTTTCAGCTTCCATTCTCACCAGTGCAAAGCAAACCTATGTGCTCTGCTCCCTTGCAGCTTATGTGGTCTCCCTGCATGTCTCCATGGGCGCCATTCACCCCACCTAGAGTTCCTTAATCCCCTTTCCCAACCCACGCTTGAAACCTGGCTCAAGAGGCGCTCATCCGTATCAAAGCCATCACAGTTCAAATGCCTTGTCTGATCCCAGGAATGCCATCCATTACAGCACCCCTCAACTGGTTTCCTTGTGTATGAATTCTAGCATATTATCTGTTTGTCGTTCTATGCTACTTTGTAGATCCCCCTTTGGCAGTGAAGATATTGTTCATACATTGGACAAATTCTTAATTATTGTTTATACTTCAAATGCTGAAGAACCAAAAGGAAGATTAAAGAAAAGCAAAATGCATTTTCCTTCCAAGAATGCCTCCAGACAATTTCATTAAGTTTGTAATGTAAGATATATGGGTAGGATATAAAGAAAAGTTTAATCAAAATAAATTATTGTGCACCCCTATTTACATATGGATATTCATTTCTCAGTATTACTGATCATTAACTCTTCTGAGAATATGTATGTCAGTGCAGAATCTGTTTCCTTATTCTGTATAGTAACCCTCCCGCCCCTTATCCATGGAGGCCACATTTCCAAGACCCCTGGTGGATACCAGAAACCACAGATAATACTGAACCCTATATATGCCATGTATTTCTCATATATACATAGTAGGATAAAGTTTAATCTATAAATTAGGCACAGTAAGAAAGTAACATCAATAATAAAATATTACAATTATAAATATGGACTGTAATACGTTATGCAAATGAGGTTGTGGTGTCTCTCTCTCTCTCCTTTCCCGTCACCCCCATAGAATATCTTACTGTACTGTGGTCATCTTTCACTTAAAGGAGCACTTTAGGTTTTCTCTCTGGCATCACTACTCTTGCACTTGGGGTAGTTATGAAGTAAAGTAAGGGTGAGTGGAATGCAAGCCCTGCGATACCATGAAAGTTGACGTGATAACAGATCCGGCTACTACGTAACTAACAGGAGGGGAGCATCTACATTATGGAGACGCCAGGACATCACAAGACTTCATCAAGCTACCCAGGACAGCATGCAATTTAAAACAAACGAATTGTTCATTTCTGAAAAATTTTTATTTCTTGTTTTCTGACCATGGTTGGCTGCAGGTAACTGAGACCACGGAGTGTGAAACCTTGGACAAGGGGGGTGGCTGCAGTGTATGCACGCACCCAGAATGAGGACAGATGTAAGAATATACTGAAGCAGTTCATATAGCCTTTAGTGGCATTGCATTTAACAAACACTTCTATAAAGTAGTTAATAAATTAAAACGTGTACATATACACATTTAAATGTGTGTGTATGGAACCTATACATACATTCACATACAATACACCCAACACATACACAAACTCACGAATGCTGAGAACTGTCTAAAGTAGGATACTTACATCAGAATAAACCCGAGTTCCAATCACACGAGCATAATGTGGATTTGCCTGCATACAGTTACGAGGGCAGTATACTCTGAAAAATAAATATTTATTTATGCATAGTAAGTAGCTGGTTACTACAATCTTTGTTATTACTAAGAAGACAGACATGCTTACACAAAAGTAAACTCAGCATTCTAAACCCTACTTTTTTTTTTCTTCCGAAATAGGTCAAATGTAAAAACGCCTTTGCTTCTGTTCACACTAGCCACTTCCAGCCTTTGGCACAAATGTGTTTCTTTTCTTAAAAAAAAAAAAAATTACCAGGAAGGTTTCTAATGTAGGGCTTCAAAGCAAAAAGAAATACCAGGAAGTAACTCTAAGAATCTGGGTGTTTGGTACCCAATGTGACTGTAGAATTTACTAAACAGATAACTTGGAAAATCTGAATCATTGTTTGACTCGTAGATCTCATAGTTTCTTTTCTCTGTGTTCACATCCTAGGTGTCTCATCCAATTTCATGGTTTTAATTATCATCTATAAACCGTTGATTTCCAAATATTCATCTAGAGTTGAGGCCATCATAAATAATTATTTGTTTCTTCATGCTTGTCTTGAGTTAATATCCTTTCATTTATCTGCTCTCAGAATTCTCTCTCAGAATAGATTTATGCCTCAACTTATTTAAGTGATATAAAATTATAAACAAATGCACCACAATATGGTTCTTTAAAAGTCAAAAAATACTATATAAATAATACCATTATGAACTAATTTATGCAAATATTAGGCATTTTATGAGAAACAAGAAGAAAGCCTTTGTTTCACTGGTCTATAAAAGAAAATGGGATGGGGGACTTCACAGACTAATTAAGGTCAAAATTATGCATAAATCATCATTTCCACTGATTTGTTATACTGGTGACAGTGAAAGTTAAATTTTACAAAAATTATATCATTTCCCTTTTGGGGAGGTAGGTATTTCCCTTCTTGAAACAAGTGAAAAAAATAAAAAACTTTTTATTAATATTTTACTTGAATGATCTTTTCCTTTCAGAACAATATTGCTATAGATTGTTCCGTGGGTATAAAATTACCATTTACTGAGCATCTCCTCCAGGGAGGATTCATGCTGAAAGGCTCCACTGTGGTCCTTACTATTCAATCCTCATAAACCTGTCACAAGCCTGAGAGAGGGCCTGCCATAATACTGACATATAAAATTTTTCCTTCTCTCACCATATCATAAGGTTAAAATTTCCCAGATTTACTTAGCAATCTGTTTCTTCTTTCTATAAAGTACAATGTATAAGTACAGGGGTTTGAGATAGTTGAAAAAGAAATTCTACAACATTTTCTAAGATTATAAAACACACCATGATCTTCATTAAATCTGTGAGCCTCATGAGACCAAAATAAGTGAAGTGCTAGTAAGAGGAGATGATACTTTTATAATAAACATATTTGATCCGTGTTTATAGCAGCCCGAGCAGCCTGAGCCAGATGTCTGGTACACAGGTGAACACTCCGATTGCAGGCACAAGCCCGCTGCCCGAATAGCGGAAGCTACTCCAGCACTTGGGGGAAGAACACTAGGAATGCGTGGCCTTTGTGACAGCCCATTGCTGCCTGCTGCCTAGCAGTTTGAGATCACACACCTTTGAGTCCTAGAGACACAAGAATGTCAGGCAAAAACAGTTATCACAGGATAGACGCACCTTACATGTTCACTGGTAAGGAAGAATGCGAACATTTAGAAAACGTTACCTTGGGCAGTGGGAAGCCGGTTTATGAAACGGACAGAGCTGTTCCACCGTGGTCTCACAGGTGACAGCCTGAACTGCAGAAATCAAACACAAAGAAGGAGCAAATTCCTTGGAAATAGTAGCACACAACACAGTCATAAGAAAGTGAAATAGAAAAAAAGTGCTAACCTGTTACTTTAGAGACTGTGAAGGAATTAGCAGACTGGTATTTGCTGAAGATGAAAACAAAAAATGTCAATCATCCTGTATAATAAAATCCTAATATGCTAAGTGTCTGGTTGACTGGTCAGCTGTTCAACCAATCAAAGTGTAATATGCTAATGATATGCTAAGGACAATCAACTGCTTGCTATGATGTGCACTGACCACCAGACGCTCCGACCAGTAGGTTAGCTCGCTGTTGGGGTCTGGCCGATCGAGACTGAGCAAGATGGGCTGAACATGCCCTGGAGCCCTCCTGCGGTCCCTCCCTAGCTGGCCAACCTCCCGCGTCCCTCCCTGGCCTCAATCATGCACCGGTGTGTCCCTCAGCCTGGCCTGTGCCCTCTCACAATCTGGGACTCGTTGGGGGATGTCAGAGAGCCAGTTTCGGCCCGATCCCGCAGGCCAGGCCAATGGACCCCACTGCTGCACAAATTCATGCACCGGGCCTCTAGTTTTCTTATAAGTATCATCATCCACACAACTTCTGTATGTTTTAGGTCTATGAATACTTTGTTTTTTTCTTAAACACTCTTATTTAAATATCTAAATAAGTAGTAATATAAGAATACATCATCTACTTTATGCTAAATCTATATTACCTTCAAGTATCAATCAAATCAATGGCATTCTTAATATTAGTGAATGATCTCTTCATTATCAATCTCAAAACTATTTAATCTTTCACAACAGTAAATACAAGGTAGTGTTATAAAAATACTAAATAATAAATACCTTACCGGAGTGTGCATTATTTAATCCCCCTAGTATGCAGTAAAATGCCTACTGTAAATGAATGAATTCCTCTTCATCATACGCATTATAATAAAATAGGAAAACAAAAATAGGTATACCATTGTATACCAACAATTTCGTAGGTTTATCTATATCCAGATTTTCAGAAAAGCATCTACTGCAAAAGGGAAGGCTTTAGTATGAAACACCTTTCAATTTCAAGAGAGTTTCCACAATAAACATAATCAAATAGGAGTTAAGAGGAAACAAATAAATAGATAAATGTTTTTAAATCAAATATCCAGTATTTGCCTTACTAAAAATAATGACTAATATTTATTATTTATTCAAGGAAGTTATTAAATATTTGCAGAATGAATCAGTTAATAAATGTTTCTATACTTGAACGTAATGGGGGTAATGGATGACAACCACACATCAAGCTTTTGGTCAAAACTGTCTACAAAGAATCTCATTCCATGAATTTGCAAAGGTTTTAAATAAAATCCTATCATTATGAATTTCAACTTCACTGTGGATTTTGTGCAATTGTATATGTACAAAAGGAAACTGACACATTTCCTAAGAAAAGGCCTTTCATCTGAGGTTCAATAATGTTTCTTTTTTCACACAGAAGCAAGAGACACTACAAAAATATTTCCCAAACCCCTATTTTTCTACTCTTTAGAGAGTATATATGAAAATTTCCAGGGTTTTGGAATAACATAGTTCATGTTCTTAACAGGAGAAACATTTTAAAAGACAATCACTGCTTTTATATTAGATTAAATTATATTTAAATGAACAAAAGAAAGGTGATATGTACTTAGTGACTTTTCAAAAATGCTCTTTGTTATCTACTAATCTCAGTTTATTAACAAAACTACTGTTGTAAAAAATAAACTATTCTCCCTTAAACAGGGCAGGGGAATATGCAAATCTATAAGTCTTCTCTGCAATATTTCCTGTCATAGCTGAAAAGTTTATTGGCTCACAATGAAAACCACTATAAATTTGTGCGTTCTTGATGAAACTCTAAAAAATTTGGAGTTTCAGGATGTTCTTTGGAAGCAAAGAGTTCAACTTTCATTTCAATACTTCTTTTTCTTTTTGTCTATGGAAATGTTGTAGCCAAATGAACTTTGAAAATGACCAGTTTCTCTCTGTATAAATTCTCCTATGTTTTGCCCCAAAATAATTTATTGCCTCATTGTTACAATTTAAAATCAAACGAGCATTCAGGTACTTACCCGATTGTTTGAATACCATTTCTATTGGATTTGATGAAATAATGTTTTCTTCCTTGTCTAGTGATATCTACCCAACCGCCATCATTGTCTATTATACCATAATGAATTGCAGCTTTACAAATACTGGATTGCTTGGTGAAAAGGGGTGGAGAAAAAGATATTAAAATATTAGAGTTCTGGATAAAAGATAACTAGTTACTATTTACATAACTTTAAATTTGACAAGCATTTCTGAGCAAAATATCTATGCTTACATAAATTATTTTGCACATTAAAAATCAAATATTATATGAAAGGACTCTATCTCCAAATAATTGTATTTATAATAGTTACCATTTCATAATATACACTGCCAACAACTTTAGCTTTACTATCCACACAGCCAGCAGGGCATTCATATCTAAATGAAAGAAAATTGGGACAAAATTTAGTTTCTCTGAATGTCAGCAAAAAAATGAAAATATTTCTGACATTTTGGTCAGTTAATTTTGACAATAATAATAATAAATATTACCGATTGCAAGTTGTTCCTTTGCACTGATCTCTTAATCTTACTTCACAAGAAACAATTTGGGCTAAAAGAAAAAAAATAATGTAGAAAATGTAAAAGGTGCTATATAATTCTTCATAGTTAATATAATGGCAAGCTTTTACCATTCTAAAAATATTAAAGGTGATAAAATATAGATGGATATGCCACCTATATCCGTTTTTAAAAAATGTTTTTATTGATTTTAGAGAAGAAGTAAGAGGGGTAGAGAGATAGAAACATCCATGAGAGAGAAACATCAGTCAGCTGCCTCCCACACATCCCCTACAGGGGATCCAGCTAGCAACCCAGGTATGTGCCCTGACCTGGAATTGAACCGGTGACCTCTTGGATCACGGGTTACTGCTCAACCACTGAGCCACACAGGCCGGCTAAACCTTAAAATTTTCATAAATAATGCAGAAGTCTTACACATTTGCTGCGTGCTTACAACTTCATTTGTGTTACTATCATCCGCTCTTGCCCGAACGTGGGTGTCATGGACTTGTGACTGCTGCCGTTCAATTTCATTGGTTTCCTCTTCACGGGGAGTGTAGTACCTGTCTGATCCTTCTGTTAGAGAGAATAGAGTTAAGGAATATGAATCCCACGTAAATTTGTACAAATGATCAAATAATGATAAATCTTGACATACCTGTTTAACATTTAAAACTAGAAAAATCATTATTGTTTTTTAAAATTTACTATTGTTCAAAGTATTACAGACGTCCCCCTGTTTCCCCTTTGACACCCTCCACCACACTCCCACCCCCTCCCCAGGCTTTCACTGCACTATTGTCTGTGTCCATGGGTTATGCATATATGCATATAAGTGCTTTGGTTAAGCTCTTCCTGCTCCCCTGCCCCCTCCGAAATATATCAGATTGCTGCATGCTTCAATGTCTCTGGATCTATTTTGTTCATTAGATTCCACATACAAGTGAGGACATGTGATACTTGTCTTTCTCTGACTGGCTTATTGTACTTAGCATGGTACTCTCCAGATCCCTCCATGCTGTCTCAAAGGGGTCAGTCCTATTTTTAGCACAGGTTTTGACTTAAGGAGGTGCTCTTATGTACTAAGTTGGAGTGAATAAAACACACATCAGCTTTTGAGCCTTTGATTTATTGATGCTACCATTTGGCTCTTAAATGGAGTCTTTTCTAACCTTTGCTTGTATTGTGAGAAGCAGAGAATCAGTTCAATTCATGTGATCAGTGATTAGTTTTCATAAGACACTGTGAAGTCTACCCAGTGATCTAATAAAGTCAGGGCTTAGTGAATTTGAATTTGTTTTCCCAAAGGAAATGATCCTCTTAATATTTTCAGGAGGATCACATTTAACATTCTCCCATAAGGAATTCAGCCTAAAGAGGGATCGATGTGCCCTTGCTATTTATTACAACATCAGTTTTCCTGCAAAGGTTGTCCTCTTTCAGAAGGAAATTCAAAGTGCAGAAATTTAAACTTGACAATGGAGAATCATTTAGAACTTTTAATTTAATATCTTTTCCAGGTTGGATTATATGAAGGGATCAGAACCTAGAAAAAGGACATCAGGGTAAAGTAAGGTTTAAGTAAAATGCAGTGGCCATTGGGGGGGGGTAAGTAGGCTGGAGGTTTGGGGGTAAAGAGGACGGAGAACAGACAGACTCACATACAGTGAAAAATGTTTCTAGGAATTAAAAATGGCTCATAGAACAGAATGAAACATACGATCACTTCTGGTCACTTATTTTAGTGAATGAGCATTGAGTCATTAAGAAAAAAAGGGCACATCTCTTTATGAGTGCTGAAAGGGGATGCGTTTACTCATAGATTTTCTAATACACTTAGTCTGCATTAATCTTTTTAGTCATCATTAACAAAAAAGTACAAGAGAGTAAAAAATGTTCACATGGATGGATGCCCAACAGAAGCATGATGACTTTCACAAAGCTTTGTCATATCCAGTTTATCTTCGTGTGCTATAGGTAGGACACCATCTTTGTAGTTACCTTTAGGATATCAAATGCATTTGAGGGTACTGCTTTTTATAATACTTTTAAAATACTATTCTTTTTTTCTTATTTTGGCATGAGAAACTATACTCTACAGTGAGAAGCAGAGAATCAGTACAATTGAGCATGGTTCAATTAAGAATCATAGTATTCTGGCAAAAGCCTTTAAAGCGCTAAATATAAATTGTGTTAAATTGCTAACTCCTTCAAAAAATGATTAGTTATGGAGACAACTCCAGTCAACAATATATCAAGATCGCTTTAAAGAATGTAAATATACTTGCCACTCTGGGATAAATCCCCAAGTACAATTAGAAGTTATCTGGAATAATCATGAAACTTTCCTTTAAACACATAGTGGTATACAAGGAGTTACTATGAAGTATATTTTTAAATATTCTAATAGTGTCTTCAAAATGTTTGAAATAGAGTTCTGGAAACTTTTTGAGTAATTAAATAAACATCTGTTTTTTTCTAAAACAGCAATTAATGCATAATATCAACCAAACTAAGTACCAGGACACAACAGCACATACCTTTGTAGCACAGATTTTCCCGACAGCCTCCTCCAAAGCTGGGTGGGCAAGCTGAACAGGGCCTTCCGTGTTTGTAGGGGGCGTGGCCCCACCAGTTCCCCCTTAAAGAGATGATCAGTACTCTTAAGAGGTAGTCTAATAGCATCATTTATAAGACACTGCAAAATATTACTGTTTAAGATTCTTAAATTCTCAATGCTCATTCTAAGTGGTGATTTTGATGTGTAGATCTAAGACATTTATATCTTTTATCACGGAATCTTTTGGTTACCTCGTTTAAATGTAAAATGCTGCCTCATTCTTTTGAAATATACTAAGTAATTTGTTATACATATTGTTAAAAATTACAAAATCAAACTTTGGCACACCACCAAACGCTGCTATGGAATATTCATCTATATTCCATTTGTTTTAATAAAAACAGATTTTAGACTTAGCTCTGACCCTACATATGACTGTGTGATATTTTCAATGTAATAATTTGAATGGTCTTTACACAGGTAAAAATGCATTTCTCAGTTAATCTGCAGTTGATCATCTCTAACAAATCAAAATTATTAAATATTTATGCAGTGTCATAGTAAAAATGAAGGCACAAATATGATTCCTGTCTTCACAAGGATCATATTTTCAACTTTTTAATTCCTTTGAAGTACTGATTTTTTGCATCAGGCAACCATAATTATTGTCGTATTAAGTAAACTGAGTTAAAACTGTATACTTTACTCAATAATACACACTGAAAATGAGAAAAAAATCAGCAATATAAAGTTATTTTCATGTTATTAAGAAAAATTTACATATGAAAGTGGTCTTTTGTCTACTTACTTTGGGGAATAATTGCACACCAAGTAGACAGCTTTGGGCCATATCTGGCCCCAGATGTTCATGTTATGGCACAAATTAATGGCACAGCCTATTCTGCTGCTTGTTGCCCACACCACCTATGGGAGAGAACAGAAATGGCAAGTGGAGATGAAGTAAGATGCAACATATCCGAGAGGGAAATATATAAAACACAATTTGAGAAACAAACCTTTATCATTCAAAATGAAATGAGGCAATGTCAAAAGTCAAAAAGGCTATTTTTCCTAAGGCTTGGGAAAGCGCTTAATTTAATATAAATAACAGAGGGACAGTTCAGTAACTCTATCTGGCTATAAAGTGTAAAGCATCTTCAGAATACATTTTTACTAAATAATTCAAAGGTTACATTCTCACAAACCTAAATTTTGTGTTAATGTTTCTATGAAGAAGCTTACCTAACAAAGGAACAGAATTTCTCATCTTAAACAGAAAGTACTGGAGCCAAAATTTAGGTGTTCACATTTCTTATACAGCGTGACATTTTCATTGGGCCACTGGTTGTTAGGGAGTTCAGTATTGATCTTGTCACACGCAAAGGCATAGCGGACAAATTCTCGGCTTTATTTTCCCTAATAAGCAGCCACAGGTCTTCTGGAAGCTCTCAACTGCGGTGAGCTTTATCTAGTTGAATCTGCCTTCAGGTGTGTGATTTCAAAGTTAAAACATACCCAATACCAAATATAACCATTCAATACAAATAAAGATTAAATGCTGCACACAGGTAAATACCAGATATCAGTGGTAAATAAGACAATATTTTTATTCTTTGGAAAATAAAAATATAATGACACCCAAATTTGAAGGCAGTAAACTTCTCCCCACTTGCATTTATTGGGGCCATATTTAAACTATTTCATATGTAAAATCATTGCAGTAAAGTCTTTTTAAGTATGTGTGTTTGGAGAGCTCTTCCTGATCATTACTTATATTCCTTGTAGACATTTCTAAGCTTATTCTATATACATCAATAACTATATAATTAATAACCATACCAAAAGCTATAAGAAAGACACAAGTTCAGTAGCCTACGTTCTCCCATAGTTACACAAATTCAACTTCGAGAAATGATGTATAATGTACCCCAAACATACCTGTGTATAATGAGTACATACAGGACCAGAACATCTGAATGGGCAATACGGGTTGCATTCATGTTCATATGGGTAGGTGAAGTCTCTCACTTCATCATACCATGCTTGGACATGAAATGTTGGAGGCCTATATCTATTGGAAATAAAATAACCACAAAGAGCAAGTCAAGTTGGAAAAAATATTACAACCAAATATTGCAAATAGATTGATAAAGTAGGGTAGAGAGATTTTTGTGTGAGGTATTAACCTTAAATACCTATACCCATTTCATTACTATTATATCAATGACTTAAAATAAAAATAAGTCTCAAATACTGTTGATCATCCCTGTATATTTATTTTTTTATTATTCGTGTTGGTGTGATTATTTGTTTTCCTTTTTGGCACCAAGCCTTTGAAAATGTGCTACATGAATTAATAAGCATTTCATTTCAAACATGTTGTCAGAAACAAAAAGTTACATGTGAAGATACCTTCCCCAATGTGCTCCCAAATTCTGTCCAATCGATGGAAGCAAGCTTGCAGGCCCATGTTCCCACAAACAAGTTTCAGCCCAGGACTCTGCAGACCTCTCCAGCTCGACATCCCACGTCTGTAGTTCAAAACAAAAGTGAAATACAGATACCAACATTTAATATGTATGTATAGTTTGGACATTTCTTCAAAATATAGTGTTGCTCAGTTCTCACGTTTTCTCCCGTTGTACTCATTTGTAAAGTCAACATCTTAGTCGGGGTGCTGACCATCTCTCAAGATTTTTACACTAGCAGCTTCCTTAATGTCCTTGCCTCATCTCTCCTCCCTCCACTCTGCTCTAACAAGTGTTGAGAATTACCTAAGTGGATACAGATACACTGAAGTGATTCCTCTGTCTGAACAACATGTGACAAATCCCCATATCCATGAAGTTCAAGATCCTTGATCCCTCTGTTCCCCATCACAAACCCTGCTCTTCCTTGTTCTCTCTGGCATTGTTTCCTTTATCTAAAACATCCTTCTCCCAATGATTTGTCAGGCAGACCCCTACTATTCCTTCACAACCCAGCTTTATGTAATGCATTCTTGACACCTTCTCCATTCTCTCAAATGCCAACTATTCCCTCCTTGGAGCTCCTGAAACTTTGTTAGACTCCTTTGTTTAACAGCTATTACACTGAAATGTTAGTATTTGTCTATATGCTTATCTCTTTCTTGAGACTGAGTTGCTCAGGACAGTAATTTAAGTCATGCTGGTGTCTTTACCCTATTTTCTGTGTCGTGTGGACTAAGTTTAATAAATGTTTGTTGAATAGATGAATGATTGAATCTGAATCCTATAAAACATATATGCATCTTGTATACAAAATTCAATGAGGGTGATTCATTCACACTTTAAAAGTAATTTATAAAGAAATATTTAAAATTGCAAAATTACTACCGAAATGACTTTGCATATCTTGTGTTTCATATTCGATTTGTTAATTTGTAAAACAGACAGTGTGGTCTTGCCAGAGCAGAGTCAAGAAGGATGAGGTCTGCTAAGTACTAATCCAAGATTAAGAGCAATTTCAGCTCAATGGTAGGTAGAGAAACAGGAACACAGAGGGTTAAAGTGACAGGAAAGAGCAAGTCCGGAAAGCAAGTGAGGCTTGTTTGTTAATAATACTGTAGAGGGGAAGAAAAGAGAGAGGGCAGGAGCTTAAAAAGCTAAGATGCCAGGGGCTAGGGAGAATGTGTTTGCTGGGTTTCATTTGGAAAGGATAGCAGAAAGCTAATCATGGCTGTGGGTTCAAAGGAAGAGATGCCAGAGAGGGACAGAATGGAGAATATGTGGGGAGAAGTTTCTTCATTCCTTCATATACATTTTTATAAATGAACATGCCTCCTCACACAATTGTGAATCTGAAATACATAGATTCATGGTTTCAAAGCCCCAAAGCAAAATTTGTACTAGATTAGAATAAGTATATTCTTATTACAGGACATCTTTATTATCTAGCAAAAATATAAAAATGTATCTTTACATGAACTAAAAAATTAAGAGCAGCAAAAGTAGCTGATTTTCATAAGAGCTTTAATTTTACTTTGAACTAATGTCAAATATTCAAGATGACAGGTTTTGTGATAGACACATCAGAAATGTATGCTTAAGTATTTATCAGGCAAGCCCTTTAAGTGCTAAACATGAGCATACTATTTCTTAAATTCTTAAACTAGACCTAATTATATAATTAAATATTTTATGTAATTATACAAAGATACTAGAGGCCCGATGCACAAAATTCGTGCAAGAGTAGGCCTTCCTTTCCCTGGCTGCCGGCACTGCACTGGCTTCCCCCTGGCACCCGGGACCCGGGCTTCCCTCACAGAACTGGCTTCGTCCAGAGGGCCGTCTAGAACATCTGGTCCAATTAGCATATCACACTTTTATTATTAGAGATAATTCAAGTTGCTGTCATTATTACCCAAACAAACTAGGTAAGACAAAAATATTTGGGTATAGAGTCCCAGAAAATGAGCAAGAGGCTGCTTTCCTTTTGTATCCAGTAGATTGGAGATTAGAGAGTCACCCCTCAAAAGCAAGCAGGATTCCAGGTAGAGCTCCCTGGAAAGTAGTTTGTCCTAGAGAGACAAATTCTTGTCTTCAATCTTGGGCGTCGGGTTCTTGCACGGCACTTCAGTCACAAGTACAGTGGAACTACACTCAGCAGTAAGTTTCTAATCTACCAACCGCGTATTCAAGGAGTAACCAAGAACCAGAAGAAAAACAAACAGTTCCTAGATGGCTTTTAAAAAAAAATGCCTGAAACCACTGTAATGATTATAAAGCCCAAGATGTGGAGTTGAGTCCTCTCCCCTTCCTTTCAATTTGAGCTGGATAGCGATTCCCTTCTAATGGACAGAATGACACTGTGAGACTTCTCAGGCTCTATCTGCTTCTTTCTCTTTTAAGACACACATCTTGGCAGACGTGAGCCCAGCAGCCCTGCACAAGTAGCTGGAAAGATCATGTGGAGAGACCACACAGAGACAGAGAAATGTGGAGGAGCTCCTTGCTGGGCTTTTCCAGCCCCGGCAGGAGACCTGTCAGTGTGCTTGTCCAGGTCACTGCAAACACGTGAGAGACCAGCGAGAACCACCCAGCTGAGCCCTTGGAAGAGACCTTAAGACCCTTATCCAAGGTCATTTGATGCTTTTCTGCACACAATGCTACAACCTTAGATGTCAGTTTTTCCTACGAAGTTACAGATGGATCCCGTTTAGAGGGGATATACATACAACCAGCCCCAAATTCACAAAACAAAATGTTATATTTGAAAAAATCGTGTTTATATCTGCTGTCTAGAAATTGAAATAAAATTGAAACATATCATTCAAATCCTTTAGGCTAAGTTTCCTTACTTATAAAATGTGTCAGTTGAAATAGATGATAACTCAGGTCTCTTCGAGGACTAAAATTCAATTGAGTATATTATATGGGTAAGCTGTTTTTATGGCATGACAAATTTTCTACCTAATCCATTAAAAATAAGAAGGGAAATACATATATCAAGCGAACTATAAGACCAAACTAGGGACATACATTACTTTAATATAAGAACTAAGACAGAGAAGCCTGCAATTAAAATTTACTATCAATCCATATATATAAAAGCCTAAGTGACCAGAACGACCAGAATGACTGGAATGACTGGTCACTATGATGCGCACTGACCACCAGGGGGCAGACGCTCAACACAGGAGTTGCACCCTGGTGGTCAGTGCACTCCCACAGCCAACCTCCCCCAGCCGGCCAACCTCCCGCAGTCCCTCCCCCTGGCTGGCAGGCCCTAATCGCCTGATCAGGGCCGGCCCCTGGGCTGGGACAGGGAACAGGGGTTGGGTGGTGGTGGATGCGGCCCCTTTCCCAGGGGGGCCAAGGGCTGACTCCCTCCTTAGTAGGGCCAGCGGCCAACCTCTTGTGCCCCGTCCCTCCCCGTGGCCGGCAGGCCCCGATCGGCCTGCCGCCCGCCTGCTGTGGTGGCGGCGTGGCAAGGAGGAGCAGGGGAGGCGGGGAACAGCATGATGGCAGGGCGCTGACGATGGCGGCATTGGGTGTCCGTTTCCTTCTGTGTCCGGTCCAGAGACCGTCGCCTCTTCTCAAGCCCGGTCCTGATCGGCCTGGCTCCGATCGGCCCTGATCACCAGCCAGGGCTAGGGACCCCACCCGTGCATGAATTTCATACACTGGGCCTCTAGTTATTTATTAAATATTAATTATGACAATTTTAAAAGTGATTATTTAAAAATCTTTCAAGCATAGGTGTTTAGGTCAAGTTCAATACACAAATCAAGAAGATTCTTTAAAAAAAAAATACGTACTAAAAATATAGCTGTCCTAGAAGAAATATTTCCCATAACAACATGGAATGTATATTTTTATGCCACAACATTATATGTCAGGTTTTAAGACCACCAGTAATTCATACCAATCCCCATTTAAATGTAGGTTAGTCTCTATACATTTCTATTTAAATTCAGGTTGTAAATTAAATCAAGATGGCCTGAAGGGCTTTTTTCCTCTCTGAACTATTCACCCAGCACTAATTTAAAGCCAAACCGCACTTAAAATTACCATTTCTTTATAAGATGGGTACTTGAGGTGTATAGAAATGAAAAACACTGTATTTTCCACCTACATCTAGGCTGTTTCTTCTTAGAGTCCAGTAAAGCATCGAATGAAGTTTTATTACTAAAAGAAACAGAAAGCAATTGACATTCTTTGGCTCCAATGTTATTTTTAAGCTAGTTCAACCTGGAGGCTCTACAGTGTGTGTGTGTGTGTGTGTGTGTGTGTGTGTGTGTGTGTGTGTGTGTGTGAGAGAGAGAGAGAGAGAGAGAGAGAGAGAGAGAGAGAGAGAAATCTTAAATATTTTACCAAAGGACTTTCAAAAGTAAACCCTAGAAATATATAGTAATTTTTAGTGCTAAATGTTTTAACTTGTAGAAATTGGAAGTTATGTAGCTATCTGACATGTACAGACAATTCCCTCGGCTGCTATACTTTGGAAAGTACGAATGAGCATATACAATTTCTGATTCCTACTGGAATAACCTGCTTATCCTGCTTTAATAACAGACATTCAAAGAAGGTTGGAAAATCACTCAACAATGTAGTTTGAAATAGAGTTTAATATTGCCAGTTGCCAGTACCTTGGGCAAAATCAGTACTGTACACAAGGCAAACACAGTCCTTAGTCAGATTAATTTTTCCTTCTCTTTGACATGGAAATAGTTTTCTCTCTTAAAAATGATTGTGTTGTCAAAAGCACCTCCTTGACCACAGTTAATTTAGAGCTTTTTCTAAGTTCACATCATTTGAAAATGCATGTCCTGGGAATTGTTTAATCTTTATAGCTTAAAAATTGTTATTATAGTACATTAAATAAGAGCTGAAGGCCAACGTTAGTCACTAAGAATTTGTCTAAATCTAATGAACAAAATAAACTGACGAGCAAAATAGATCCAGAGACATAAAAGCATGGATTTCCAAGAGAAATGCAAAAAATAACCCAGGGACACAGACAATAGTGTGGTGAATGTGGAGGGGGGCAAGAGCAGGGTGGAGAGGGT